CATGCAAGTTACTACAAGCAGCAGCTCTGCAGAGACAGGTGCACATGCCGCACTGACATGTATGTGCACTCACAGTGCGTAGTAGTGCGTAGTAGTGCGTCGTAGTAGTAGTAGTAGTAGTAGTAGAAGTAGAAGTAGAAGTAGAAGTAGTACTACTAGTAGTAGTAGTAGTAGTAGTAGTAGGTGGTGGTGGTGGTGGTGGTGGTGGTGGTGGCATACTACCACTGTGACAACTACTTCTGGCACTACTGTACCTCGTGGAACACTTCACAACTCCTTCTAAAGAAATTCTAATCGAAGGCATGGACTCATGGACTGCAAATGTCTTTGTCTGTTGATCACCGGAGCCCTTGCTAAAGCTGTCTGGAGGAATTGATCGCGGCTTGCACCCCGAAAGGCAAGCCCCATCTACAGTCGGCCAACTCCCTGAGCCTGCAGCTCAAACCAGGCATTATGCATTTTGTCACAGTGTCTGCTACAACTGCCGGGTCCAACACCGTCCACGCGCCCAGGGAATAGAACCGGCCGTTTTGCTGAATGACCTGCAGCATGCGAAACCCGAGAAGATAGAGATCCTGGTGCTGGCACTGGCACTTCGCGTTGGCTGTTGCTGGCACTATGGGCATGTCTGGTAAGACAGCCTGGGCACCTGCTGCGATACACGACAGAACACTCGAGCACTATGTCGACGGGTTTGACACAGGAGTGTTTTGGAATTGGAGCTCCGCAAGCCAGTCCGAACCGCTCCAAAACCACGCTCGGCGTCCGTCTAAGAACTTCCGAAACCCATCCGCAGCACTGCTGGAAGCAAGAGACTAATTAACTAAGCCCTGGGAGCACTTTGGCAGATGCGACATGACACCCTTTTGATATGACTCCCTTCAAAGACAAGAAGACTTCGTGAAGCCCCGAACCTCGCCATGGAAGTTGCGGTAGCTGGGCGACAAGCTCGAGACGGGCCTTTGCTAGAGCAGGAAACAGAGCCGTCTTTAGCTTCAACTTGCCTCAGATAAGAGAGCACCTGAAATGCTTGAGACTTCGACGACCGACGGGCTCAAGATGGTGTTAAGCGAAGGCGAGCAGCTTGCTCGTGAAACATCGAGACTCGAGCAGATCCGGTGACGACATGATCCGAAATACAAGACAGCTAATTCATGGGGCCTTACTATTCCGATAGGGTCTCGGGCTCCATGATATCTAGGGACTACAAGGGGATACGAGTATTCAGGTTACTAAGATTCCGATACTTCACTTCAGCCAGGCAAACTCTCCTGAAGGGCGAGGTCCCGGCTCTCCACGGATAATCTGCTCCAGGCGATCCACCACCTGGACCAAGAAAGCAGAAGACAGCATACAGGGGCCTGAGTAATTGGAGCGGGATTTCTAGAAGGATTCCTTTGACCCGCTTCGATGCAGGTTTAGAGTATTGGCCGATATAACTGACATGGGGGACAGAGCCAGCCTCGAGAGGGTCGAAGTTCGGGCCCTGCGTGGCCCAGCCGGTTCCGATGCCCTGGAAGCCGTTGATCAAGACCAGCCTGGTGAAATCGGACTGCATCTCGGGACGCACTGAAATCTGAAAGGCTTGCTGCTTTGCTTTTCTAACCCTAGAGATCGGCTCAGGCTCTGTCGAGAAGTCGCTGTTGAGTCTGCTGAGTGCTTCTAGAGTATTCAAGATAGAAACAGCAAAGACATGCAAAGGCGGACTTCGATGAAAGTGCATTTGGCAGGTTCAAGCAAAGCCTTGACTTGTCTTCCAAGCATTTTCCTGAGCATTCCAACCATCAAGAGGGCATGCACATCGACCTTGCGCTTGGAAGCCAAACCGGGTTTGGGTTTACCTTGGGTCGATAACAGTAGCTGTAGCGAATGTAGCGATTCAGCTCGGAGGCTTGCCGCAGAAGAAACATCACACGATAGCCAAGGCACCCGCGCGCGCGTGCGCTTCAAACGAGTACTGTGCCCGAGGCCACAGGGCAAAAGCGGAAGGCAAAAATGGCGCATCGGGCAGAGCCGTCGGCTACTACTGATAAGTGCTTCCCCCAAGATGCACTAAGCTGAGGCTCAAGCAGTATCCTCGACTCAGATTGCCCATGTTCCCCATGATGCTCGTGTTGGATTTGCTAGAAAGGTGCAGGACTCAATAATCTCTCTGGTGGGATGCATGGCGCCCTCATAGTTTTGTGGTATCCGCACGGACCTCCCGAATGAATCATTGCAGGGTCTGGGCATTAGGTCCGTAAGTTGACCAATTCAATGTCGCTCGAAGAACCAAGCCCAAGGCGGAAGAATCGGAAGCATCGAGCGCGGCTCCACAGATTGCCCGTCCTCTTGACAAAGCTTTTTTGCTTGCAGACCCGCTGTGGAGATTGATGTAGGATTTTAAAGTTCGGGGCTTGCCGTTTTGGGCACAAGAGCAAAAGTGGAAACATCAGCAGCAGCAGTCCTAAGAGCAGCAGCGACAACGACAGACGCTGCAAGGATGGTGGTGACAGGGCTGGTAGTGATGGTTCTGGTGAATGTCGAAGCCGTTGCTGAGCGGCAGCTGTCAGCCATATTCGTCATGTTAGAGAAGCAGCAACAGCGGCAGCGAATAGAAAGGCCGAAACCATCTACAAACATCCAGGAGACGACAGTGCTTGTGACATGCATCTAGAGGGACAGCGAAGTTTGTGTGACCTATGGTGGCCGAAGCTGTCGTCGTTGTGGCGTTGTCCGGAGACTTCCACGCGAGTGACTCTCTTTCAATAAAGAGAATATCGTCAGCTTGCTAGAAAAGCAATGATGGATCAAAATCTAAGAACGGGCAACAGCACGTGCAGGGGAGGACCTCTTGCTGCGGCGGCAGCAGGTCGAGGTCCTCGTCCAGGAAGATCTTGCGCACAAGCCTCGGTGGATCGTCGGGGACTGTAGCAACAAGAGCCGGAATCCAGGATTCAACATGAACTTGAAGGTCGCTCGTGCTTTTCCTGTTCTGATCATCGTGTCTCATAATGTTTATGCTGCTCGCCGTTGCTTTCTCGATTCTGTAGTGTCTAACTTTCCGTCATGCTAGGGTACTGACCTCTGCGACGGGTGTAGGAATCCAACCACAAAGATCTAAGACTACTCTACCAGGACTCCCAGAGAGCCGTCGCAACGTTTAAACTTCTTCCATGTTTGCAGTGCGCTGGAAAATGCGACTTTCACCGGGGCAATGAGTCCCGTCGAGAACTGGGCCATGCAAGCACCTAGCGCTTAGCTGGGTTTGCCCTGAAAACGAAGAAGCCCGATCCAAGAAGGACCCTTGTCTGATCGCGTGGTCTTAACCCTGGCCCAGAACCCTGCGCCTTTAGCTGTAGCAGCACCTTCGCTATCCCACTGTCCATGCGGATAGGTCCGCCGAGGCCGGAGGCCCCAGGCGCTTTGATCCGTTGGTTCGGGGAGTTTGGGTGGTTGTAGTAGAGTAGTAACCCACCCCCTACCCCCTCCCAGTGGCGCGATTTGGGGGGGGGGCGTACCTGTCGGCTCCAATTTTGCTGTTTTTTTGGGGCGCTGCTTTTTTGGGGCAATGCGGGTGGGGAAGGGGAGGCGGGGGGAGGGGGGGGGGCTTCGCTCCAAGCCTCCACCACCGTTGCCTAAAATTATGAGCTCAGCAAACTCCAAACACTCGAGCGCAAATTGCTTCCGGGAGTCGCATCGTGGAACATGTTGATAAAACCTGGTTAAACTCAAACTCATCCACTTCCTTCTTCACCCCTTGCCTGCCGAGCAGCGTTGTGAGCTTGGTGTGGATGTACCGGGCACTGGCATGCACGTCCCGGCCGTTGAGGCGAGTTCCGAACATGCCAATCGGCCTCAGAGCCAGCAAGAAGTGGCAGTAGTTCTCTAAAGTAGGGTCCCTTATTTTGGGTCCCCAAAAAACAAATGCGGCACCCTTGTACAAAAGACCCTCTAAAAGGGACCCTACCCAAATGGCAAGAAGGGAGCACCAGCAGTCACGAACATGAGAGCAATACAATATTGACACTGACGCCAGTGGCAGGTATTCATGGGACTGACAAGTGGAGAAACAACCGCAAAGCCAGCATTCGCGACTTGATGGAAGAAGTATTGCTCTTCCTAGCTTTGCTCTTTGTGTTTCCTTTACGAGCAATAATCGCTTTACTTCCGCTTCTGAGTATGACCATTGCGGCCGTAAGCCCCGCACCGTCCTTTACCCCAACTCATGCTCGGCATCGTTTTGAGAGCATGTGTGAAATTTCAAATCTCATTCTTATGCAGCTAGGCATCCTTGAACCCTTGCACACCTAGTCGTGCGACTAGATTTAGCTCCAGTGCAGGCTTCGCGATAATCAACACAAACACTTTCAAAGTTGGATTCTGTATATAACTTGAATCCGTATCTTCTAGCACTATGCTTTCAGGGCCACCCGAGCTGTCCAGTTTTATCGACCTGGCGTTGTGATTTCGGCCGCTACAAACACCAAACAACATAAGCCCACGAAGCGGGATGACGAAAAGCAATGGTAAGCATGGCGGGCGTGGCAGTAGTCGGAGCAATAGGAGCGTAGGAGCAGGAGCAGCTGGGCAATAGCAGCCCTAAGCCCTAAACCCCTAAACCCTAGCAGATCTCGGTGACTTGTCCCCCGCCCGAGGGCAAGGCTCGAGAAGGTTTATGTTGTTGGTGCCGACAAAGTCCTGGGCCTTGAAAGCTGCAGCGTACAGTTCCACAGTAGCCGCCGTTGAATCTTGTTGGGCGTTCTTTCGCATTAGCTTGTCCAAGGTCACGTAACAGCAGAGATGCCAGGGCATCAATTAAGAATCATTTCCTGGAACCTGGAACAGTCAGGCTCCGGCTATTCTTGGATTGCAAGAGGAGAAAATTGTGCAGCAAGGCATCTGGATGAGGCTGATCAACGCTCTTCTTCTGCAGATCTCGGTCGCAGGCCAAGTGGACAATGACCTCTCAGTCACCGGAAACGAATTGCTGCGGCAGAAGACATCTATCACGAAGTGGGAGTTTGCATTTGTCCCAAGACTGCCCGAGCTCAACCTGCGGCAGTCAGCCGCCCCCGGTCTTCCGGGTAAGGGGATCACGCAAAAGCAAGAAAGCCGTAGGGTATGGATGCGCACAACTACGGTCCATCTCGAGCCTCGTAGCCTGTGTCCTACTTAGACTGGTGACTGAAACCATCAAAGCTCGTCGAAAGCCCTGCGCAGAAGGACAGGCGACGCTGAACCGTCTGAACCCTCCATGTCGCCGGACTCCCGAAACAGATCAGCAGCGTCCCGGCCTTGACCAAGGACTCCTCCCCGTGGTGGTAGCCGGTTGCCGATGAGACCTCGATCATGGGAGGAGCTAAGCTCTGACTACTCTGGGCACTTTACCCTAAACGCCTGAAACCCCTAATTCCCTTAGACCCCTAACCAATAAACCTTGAACCTTAAACCCCTAAACCCCTAAACCCCTGAATCCCCAGGGAGAATGTTCAAGAGCCCAGGCTCTCCGAGGCTTCCTTAAGAGAATGCCCCGCTGTAACTCGGCAGATCTCAGCTCTGGGCCAAGCCCACGATTTGGGAGACTTTCTTCCTGTCCCCCAAGGCTCACATGGGACTTTCAGGATTTAGGGTTTAAGCTTGGGGTTTAGGGTTGAGGGGTGTTTTGTTTGGTTGGGGGAGCTCTTGTCCACAAGGAGATAGGGGCGTTTTAAGTTGGAAGCAGGACGTTTGGGCTTCGACTCCTCTGGCTTTGCACTGCCCTGCACTTCCTTCCAGGTTCACCACAGAAGCTGAAGGTGCAGATTGTCCAGACTTCACACGGTTTCAGGGGACTCACGCGAGCTCCGCAATAGGTTCATTGGGTGTAGGGAGGAGGAGGGAGCAGGCGAAATTTTGAAACAAAGGCCAGATTTTGGGTGCTAAGTCCTTTTCGTAAAAAACTGCGTTTTTGATTGGGGTCTGGGACGATCTCGGTGTTCTCCCCCATTTTGGCACATTTGGCCTTGCCGTTGCTGGGGTGCAAATGTGCCAGTTTTTCGGGCCCCGCGCGCCCCGGCGAGCCCAAAAACTTGGCACATTTGGTCTCTCTCTCGGTTCATTGGGTGTAGGGAGGAGGGAGCAGGCAAATGTTGAAAAATCAGGGCCAGATTTTGAGTGATAAATTCTTTTGCTACTGGAAGCAGAAAGAGGAGCCAAAGTGGCTCGAGGAGCGCTTGACGGAAGAGCTGTGAGTGGAAAAAAATTGCAACAGGAAAAACCTACACCCTGAACCCTAAACCCGACACAAAGCACGGAAGCTTGTAAGTATCTCGGATGTGGGGTTCGGAAAGGGGTGCGTCTGGAGTTCAGCCAGAGGCTTGGGTGTCGGTTCTGGGGAATTGCTTCACATGTCTAGACACTATGTCTGAGAGTTACGCGCGCCACCAACGGCTCATGCTAAGCCACAACTGGGGCAGGTGTCCAACTTGCAGAACCTGAAGAGAACCGGAACTCCGACACTTCGAAAGCAAGGCTAATGCCAGTGCCGTGACACAACTCTAAGTGATGACGCTGACTGGGACGAGACAACAGCTTTTGCTCATGATGGTGATATTGGAGTTGTTGCGAAGATCGATGCCATACAGTCATCATGATCATGGCTAGTTATGATGAAGCAACAGATCTTTCTCAGGCCATCATGTGGGGTCATGCATCGCTGCTGGCATGCCTCACTTCTGCCTTCGGCAAACGCCATGCTACGACGTGGTTGTGCGATTGTATGCTACCCCTGGCATCTTCAACAAGTGTCGTTGCTCTTGAACGTCGCAAACGTCGCACAGTGGGAGTGAGGCTTTTTGACTCCGAGCTGCTCCCCGGACTTCGAGTGCTTGAGCGCCCAGTGGAGAACCTTGCGCTGCGACGGCTTCAGCCTCGCAGTTCTTGGAGAGAGTAGATGAAGACAGAAGGCAAAAGACAGCACGTGGACAAGAAGTTGAGTTGAATCAACTGGCCACCCATGAACAAGTCGGCGCACTATCCCGAAGCTAGGTTTGCAACTTCCTAGGCACTGATGACATGTCATGGTAAATCAAGAACACCCTACCGGCATATTATTTGCCATCGCCCACAACAACTTAAGACGGACTCGAGTTCTCTCGACCGAGCTGCCCATCCAGGAGCAGGGGGATGGATCGAACACAGTCATAGATGCTGAAGTGGACCATCCTCGATGAAGCAAATGCGATCGCGTATCATCACAACGCTCTGCTACCAATCTTGACTAAACCTCCCACAAGTAGTAAAGCAAGTACGACTTGCTCGAGTGTGCTGTACTCTAGCTCCTACCGGGGGCATACACTGTAAGTCGGATGGTCATCTTGACTTGATTAGCAATCACAGCGACTTGCACCAGGTACGAATAGCTCTGGTATTGCTAAGGACCCATTTATCATGACGCCTGTTTGGATATGCCGAACACAGTACTCACTATGGCCATTGCCACTATCAAGAACGAGTCCAAGACAGTGCTCTGCTCACAACACCTCATGTCGTGACCGCCCGTAAGTGCAAGTTGCAAAACTCTGCTTCGATGATATATAACTCGTTTTAACTTTCTGTAAAGCAGCAGGTCTCAACCTTCCGTCCTAAAAAAATCACCATCCCAACCTGTGCAGTCCCGGAGTGTCTCACACTCGAAGGATGGCGAATGAGACGGGCGACATGTCTTCATGGTACAATTGAGAAATGAACGAACAACTATCTACCATGACACAAAGCAGCAGCGCAGAAATGATACACGGGCCCGCCCACAGACCCATGTGAAGCGCACTTGGAGATGACGACTGTTCTCAAGTCTCCCAATCCCATCCCCATCTGTGCCAAGCGGCTGCAGGTTCAGGAAGTCGGAGAAGGATGCTTGAGACTCCGTGTAGTCGAGCTCCTTCGTCTTGCACTTTCGGGCAGTCGAGGCCCGGAGGTCGCATGGAACTCCCGCTTCTTTATGGGAGCCCGGGCTATCATAGCCTATGTAGAAGAAAAGAGGATGCACAACAACAGCACAGATCGATAAGGTGTAGCCTGAGGTGTCATGCGGTCGCACGAGCCATGCGGGCTCTCGCCCACGCTAGACTCCCATCACGAACTGCCGTCTATAACACTCACAAAAGAAACCCTAAACCCGAAACCCTCTACACCCGAAATGCCCTAAACCCCTCAACCCCCATTGGGCCCCTTTTCACCCCTGGCCCGGGCTCCGCATCGGCGCTGTACTCCCTGAGCCAGTCTTTACGGTCGTTGGCGCGGTCGGGCCTTGAGCGGAGAAGGTAACAGTGACAGCCTTGCAGACTTCCAGATCCCCAGTTTTGGGGCAAATTCAAGCGCTCCCATGTCCAGCCATCTAGTAGTCTCACAACTCTTCAATCCCGTGCAGAAAGCTTCAGCTTTGCCTCATGGAGTTCGGCCAGGGCGACTGGTCGCTCCATCAATTGCTGACAGAGCTGTCGACACAATGCACAGCCCAGGATAAGCAGAGCGAGTCTGGCCCGTGATGCAGAGGAGAAACACCGACATTTCCGCGCACTCGCAGAAACAATCGGTATGAGGATGGGATGGCCACGACGACGACGACGATGACGATTCTGACGATGATGATGGTGATGATGATGATGACGACGCTCTGGACGCTCTTGGTGAATGTGACGCTGATGGCAACGATGACCGCTGTGACGGCAGCGATACTAGCCATGGTCATGACTCAGTGATGCTGGTGGCCATGGCTACCATGCAGACGGAATCCTCACCCTTAATATATTATATAGTCTTGTGAGCAGTCGTCGTCTTGACCGTCAGCGTTGTCGCAACTGTAACGGTGGCAGCAGTGGCAGCAGGAATCGTCGTGGTCGTGCTGGCAATGATCGGACTTTGATAGGGGGCGGATGAGGACTGTGAGGCATCAACGGTGGCCGTGATGTCTCGCATGCCTGAGCCCTCGGCTCAAATACCTTTTCCACCATCGCTTCGTCACGCTGACCTTCGTAATTGAAGTCCATGACCTGGTGACTATGACCAGGGTCTGGCATGCTCCTGCTTCGAGCTTCAGGGCTGAAAGCTGGAGCCCGACTACTGTGACAGCATTACGCGCGCCGCCAGCTGCTGCCACCACATGCCTCCCCCTTTTCCTGAAAACCGAAAGGAAAGCACGATCTAGACAAGGTCCGGGCATGACGGTCCATGTTCGCAAAGTAGGCCAAAGCCTCGTACTGGATCAGAGTTGCAGCAATCTCTGCACTGCTCTCTCTTGCGATGATAGCGGCCGGGTGTCCGAGACTAAATCTCTACTTCGGCCTGAAAATCGCCTAACGAGGGCAAGTGCAGCGACAAACCTCGACAAAAGACACGGTCGCCATGTCGGTGGACGCCCTGCGACTTGCCGGGAGATCACGGAGCCGTCATGACATGGGCCGGCCTCTTCACGCGTAGAGGTGCCAAGACCCTGAGCAATGGAGAGCGCTTTGAGGGCAACGATCATCTTCATAAGATCTCTGTCTCTGCTGCGGTAGTCATATAGGGGACAACTTTCCACAAAGTTGCCAGCACTGGGAGGAAGCGAGCTCAACAGGCTTGGCTGGCGGAGCATCGAACATTCATAATCAGCCTGATGTCACGGTCCCTCCGACCTTCAGGACTTCCACAGTTGACCCTGCCCGTCTCACCATTGACCCCCGAGGAGCTTGACAACGGATCATAACCTATGGCCCTGCTTTTATTCAGACTTAATGTGCCCCAACATTGTGCTCGTTTCGCCTGGGCGCTTCTCCGCCTTGCAACTACAAATTCCGACCCAAACCCAAGCTTCAACTGCACACCCAAACAAAGCAACTATCCCTACGAATCCTGAATCAGAACCCTGCCTCGCCTTGTAGTACTTGGCGCCGTAGCGGCGTGTCCAGTCAGTCCCTTCGCTCCTCGTCACGATTTCCCGAAAACCAGAGGCCAGTCAATGGGAACTAGTGTAGAAGATTGTAGCTGATGTCGTTTACTGTAGTCTCCGTATAGTTTCCGTACATGCTAGGTCCTGCTGTCCTAGGCCTTGCTCTGTCATGCTTGGCCATCCTGTATTTAGTGGGTTTTAGTGCAAAAGCAACCCGAGACTTGCCAGCGCCCTGTATGTGGAAAGTACTTGTTGGGTACCTTTGTCCCCTCTTTGTCACGTATCTGGTGATATCGATCCCAGGCCACTGTTCCACAATCAGGAGGTGGTTTCTCAAGGCCCTACCTCCCACCCTACCAAGATGGCTGACACCACTCCCCTAGAATCGCAACGATCAAGCCAAATCGAGCCAAATCCAAGTCACAGGGTGTCTACCCTTCGACCCCGGGGCTCATGCCCCTAAACAGTCGACATCCCTGAAGCCAAGTGCACAAAAGACCTTAATTAAGAGGTTCGCAACCTCTGCCAGCTCTCGAACTCTCCCTGCGTGAAGAACTCCTCCAGACGGGTACAAGTGGGGTAATTCTTCCAAGGGTAGACCTTTCGCTGTGGTTCTGGAGCTTGCGCCTTGAGGCTTCCCAGTTTGGGATGGCGACCCCGGAACCCGAGCTCTTGTGGCTCTG